AAAAGGACTATAGCACAAATTGGGAAGGTGACATTTTCTGTAGTGTATGCCAGGATTTCTTTTTAGATTATGCTAATGCTGCAGATAATTTTATAGCATTGACACACAAATGAGCTGTAAATGACTTAGCTTGGTTACTGGAAACCATCTAGCTACAGCAACATGAAACTTTGCATAGGCTGCTGAGAAACTATGTAAATTAGCCCACTGTTCCCTGCAGCCATTGCTAGATTGTTTCCAGTACTTGGGCTAGCTTGTTTATGGCTAGCTCAGGTATCCCTACATCACAGAGTATACAGAATAGATATGGATAGAGTTCCTCAAGAGCTAGAATTTAAGTTGTAGTTTAAGGGCAGATTTCTCCTTAAATATGGGAGTGACATGCAGTTCTTAGGCACCTAAGTTACCAAGGATATTTGACTTTGCTATCTATAGTAGCCTAAACCCTGCTAAAATGTCTGTCTTACAGTGACTGCATTTTCACTCTATGCAATTATTCTGGATACTTGGAAGGAGTTTCAAAGGCATGCAATTCCATTTGGGTTCCAGTCACTCGATGCCAACCTGGATTGCACAGTAAGGCGGCACAAACTTCCTAAATTGTTGATGGCTAGAAGCTGCAACTAATGACAGTTTCCTACTCTGCATCAAGCAAACACTACTTCTGGGAACAGCAGTGGTGCCTGCCTTTTGCCTAGAAGGTCAGGCACCTAGGAAACCCAGGTCCTAGACCCGCCTTCTCTTTTTGAAGGATGGGACCTGATCTCTCATTATGCAGGGCGGTGCCCAGGTCACTAGACCACAAGTCTAGGAAGAGTGAGAGCTCCTAGTCCTGTCCATTGAGCTGCGATGAGAGAGAGAATAATGAGGACAGAAGGGGAACAAGCAAAAGGGAGCCTGACTGTTGTTCAGGAAAGTTTCATAGTTGGTAGGGTCGGAAGGGACCTAAGCAGATCATCAAGTCCAACCCCCTGCCATGGGCAGGAAAGGATGCTGGAGTCAAACGACCCTGGCTAGGTGGTTGCCTAGCTTCAAAGTGACTGCTGCCCTGGCTGGGGGAAAGCAAGCCCTTCTCTCCACCAGTCTATGTGCATGTTACGGTACAGTGCTGTCGGGAAACCTGCATAAATAGCACTGGAGGCAGAAAGCAAGCTTCTTCCCATAATGTCCCATATGTTTGAAACTCCCTCCATGTGGGGTTGCAATAGATGTCTAAACTGCACTGTTTGGAAAGCCTTGGAGTAATAATCCTCATTACAGGATTTCTTCATATAAGAAAGTCTTTTGAGTAGCATGATCATGTGTCCTGGTTTGGCCGGGACAGTTCTCAATTTCTTAGGCCATCCCGGCATCCCAGCTGGTTGGTGAAAATGGAAACAAAAATACTGGATTGGTGCCACCCTGTCTGCACTGCCTGGCTGGCTCCACTTGAGTAGTGGCAGGAGGCAAGGGGCAGGCTGGGCTGTGCACCATTCTTCCTGCCTGGGGAGGGGACCAGCTGGGGTAGGGTGGGGTGGGAGTGCTACTGTCAGTGCAGGCTGCCCGTGTGTGTGTGTGGCACCACCCAAGTGAACTTGTATTTTGTTACCCTTTGGAGTCCTCCTGAGCAGCGGCTGGAGGCAGGGGACAAGCTGAGCTGGGCATTACTCCTTCTGCCTGGGTTTGATCTGGGTGGGCGGGGGGGCAGGGTGTCAGTGTCCCAGATTTCCTTATTTTTGTAAGATGTAAGTTGGAATCTGTAACAGGAAGGAGTATATGCCTGCATTTAGAGAAAGGAAAAGAAACTCTGCTGGGTTGGTAGTAGCAAATCTCAAAGTTCATGCATGTAAAATATTCAGCAGTCTCCAGCCCTCTCTCACTAGTCCACTCCACCTTGCGGAGAGAAGCTGACTCTCCACTGAGATCAAACTCCTGTGCACGTTTCACCACATACCCAACTTACACAGGAGGATGGACTGGGCAAGCTAAAGATTTGGGAACCATTTGTTTTCAGTCCACCCCAGGCCAAAATTTCCTCCCATTTGCAGTAATACATCTCTCAAGGGCCATATCCTACCGCCTACTACTAACATGCCATCTAGAAAGACTTAAAATGCCATGGCTCCAGAAATACATCAGTGTTTGTGGTGCATTTGATATTAAGAAGTTATTGTGTAATATTAAAGAATTATTGTGTAATATGCATAAACACCTTGGCATCAGGGGCTCGATCAAGTGCACTCGTGCAGAGCTACATAACTACATGTGTAGAGTTGAATGTCTCCCTGACCCTGGCTATGTATATCTGAAGTTTGCTGGCAACTTTGCATTAGACATCTTGTGAGTGAAATATAGTTTTCTATTTTGCCACCTTCTTGGTTTTAGATGTTTGGTGCATCACATTTCAAGCTTCCTTGGACAGGAAGAGATAAAAACAACTTCTCTTTGTATAATGGAGCATTGTCTCCTTTTCTTTGGGTGTCAGAGTGTGATGAGCTGAGATTCAAAATAGTTGTACAGGGATTTAAAGTTACTAAACACCTCATTTACTGTTACTACATATTACAGTCATAGAGTGAAAGAGGAGGGGGCATAGGGTCTGCAGTAGAACTACTTGTTAAAGGATAAAATGTTTCTGACCACTAATGCATCTTCTAATGCTATGAAGAGGCAAAGACTGAATTTCCTTTAAAAACCTGAGGACAGACCAGTTTCCAGATGATCTAGTCAGTATTGTCTCCATCTTGCTTAGACTGAGCATCAGCTGGCTGGTTCTTATCCAAGTCTGTAGCTCAGCCAGACCCTGATGATATTGCAGTCTGCCTTCTGCCTCTGCCAGGAGCATCACATGCACATTACACATGCAGGTGAACAGAATGGAAACCTTCCTGATGGCCTTGTTACATATTGCACTTTGAGATGCTCAAATGTTGATCCGTGTTGGTGCTAGCTCGAGTTAAGAACAGCTGCATGTTAAAGGCTAAAAACCCCTGAAAGTCTCCCACCCGCACAGCTGCAATTTGCCACTAGAGAGCTGATGAGTGGGGGCCGGATGAGCCGGGATCCTGGTTTTCCTTGATTAAAAAATTGCAGATTCTCTGATTTACCCCCCCC